ATGGAAGTGAAAGGGACCTTGAAGGTCTTCTAGTCCAGCCCCCTGCTCGAGCAGGAGACCCTATACCCTTTCAGACAAGTGACTGTCTGGTCTCTTCTTAAAAATCTCCAGGAGCTCTGGAATGGCTCAGACTATGTCTTCCTCCTCATCGGATCAAGGCAAGCATGGAAAATCCCATTGCCCATCACGTGATGGAGGGCTCCCAGAAGCCCGGTGTTTCTGGAAGCATCACTCCTGAATCCTGTGAGTGGCTTTTTCCTCAAGGAGCTTCTTGAACCCTGCAATGGGTTGACCTTGGGAAGACAGGAGGTGGGCAAGGGGGGAGGACACAGCCAACCTTTGAGGGGAGATATCAGCCTGTTTTAGTGATCCCTGTCCACAGGTCATGCTCCCTGAACAGCCACTCCAGCGAGTATGCTCCCAGCACAGCCAAAACCTGTTTGAATTCCAAGTTTACTCATGCACTTCCATCTAGAGATGCCTTCAAGACAATGTACTGTTGCCTGTTCCTCACAAGCAGGAAGTTTACACCATACCTTGGCACATGTTCAGAGGGAGTAGAATGGCTGCACTGACCTCAACACCCGTCTCTTCAGAGAGTCGCAACCATCTGGGTGTGACTCCTTCCCCCTTCAATTCGTGCTTGGGGAACAGGCTCTCCTTGCCCCCCCTCTCTTGACCTTTCCTGCCAGGATATCAGAGGAAGCCTTGTTCAAGCCCAGGGGGAAACTGCTCCTTGTATCCCTCCTCCCTTCCGGCTTCTCCCCCTGGACCTGCCCTCCTTTTAAGACCCAGCAGCTGACGGAAGCTTTGTAGGAGTGAAATGCTCGGACATTTCAAGCTGGATGAACTTGATGAGAGTCTTGCTGGTCCCTCCTCCTAGTCTTGTGATTAGTCAGTCTCTTGCAGGGAAGTCCAGCTAATGGGCTGGTATCCCACATTTGAAATAGACATTTTTATGCTGAGTAAGAACAAAACATCATTTTTTTTTTCATTTCAAAAAGTAAAGTCTTAAAATCTGAGTGTTATATTTTGAGACTAGAACTCCCAAATAGGCGGGTTGAGGAAAAAAAGAAGCTTTGAGCTTGCACTGTTTTGCAGACCTTCCTCCAAGGCCAATTCCAGCCTTTCCCACTGTGCTATCCTCTGTGCTATCCTCGGTTTTACCACTCCCTTGCTGTAAAATATAATAAAAATAGCCCATTGATGTTAGTTTGAAGTGTTCCCACCCCCCCAATACTCAACACACAAAAATGTTGAGATGCATCATCTTTTTAGGCAAATTCTAGTTTGAGGGAACTGTATGGTGAGGCCAAAAACTACATTTGATGTTGTTTTAATTACTGAAAAAATGTGTAATGAACTACTCCTCTTCCTTCACATGAAATATCACGATCTGGTGATAATTTGGGGGTGCGGGGGAGACTCTATGGGTTGCCTCGGGATCTGAGGCTTGTGATGCTGCAACTGGATATCTCGTCTCATTTCATCCTCCAGATGATGGATGACAACAGCCTTCTGATCCTTCTGCACTAGATGCCACTCTGAATATTCAGCATACAAAATCTGAATTAGATTGGCTGATTAGATTAGATTAGATTAGATGCTTTTCCAAGGGCAAGCATTCCTGACAGGTGGCTGGGTCTTCTGCTTCTTCTTGAGCGCATTCAGTGAAGAAGGACCAGCCATTCCTTCAGTCATGATTGAATTGCTCTTAGGAAATTTAATTTAAGGCCTGCCTCCTTGTATCTGAGGGCCATCTGAAGACCACCAGAACCTTCTGTTGCCTGATACGGAGATGAGAGAGCAAAGGATGGGCCTTCTTCTCTATAACTCAACTTCCTCCATGCTGATGGCATTCCTTCTCCTCTTGGTTCATTACATTAACTAAAATGTTGAAAAGTACCAAGACAGGAACTAACCCCCTTTCACCTATTCAGCAACTCACTCTGGTTGGACGAAAAAACATTGATGGGCATTCCTTGAATATGTAGCTGCAGAGGCAGATACAAATTATGACATCTACTGTAGCTGAGAAGTATCTTATTAGAAAATCTAAAGGATACTAAACACTGTGTTGAATTCAAGATATCAGCAGCATCCCCATGATTTATTAAAGTAAGAAAAACAATTTGTCAAATCTCCATTTTCATACTGACTTCTAATAATTACTATAATATTTTCAGGATGCTCAGTAGTTGGTTTGTAATTCCATGAAAACAAGGTGGAAGGAGAAGCTGAGCACACACCACTAAATTACTCCTTTGGGCAATAATTTTTTCCTCTCTTTTTTTCTGTAATGTCTTTATTAGATATTTAAACAAGAAAGATTAAAACCAAAAAAACTACCGTAATACAAGGAAGGAAGGAAGGAAGGAAGGAAGGAAGGAAGGAAGGAAGGAAGGAAGGAAGGAAGGAACTCTTACTCTTTGGTTACAGCATAATTTTCATTCATTCTATGATCTATTTTTATCTAGTCATCAAACCTATATATTGAGACTGGAGAAAGACTGCAGAGAAGAACAACAAAGATGATGGGAACTGGAAGCTAAAACATATGATGAATGGCTGCAGGAACCATACCTGGGTACGGGTATGTTTAGTCTAATGAAAAGAAGGACTAAGGGTGATACGATAGCAGTCTTCCAGTACTGGAGAGGCTGTCAGAAAAGAGGTGGTTCACCTATTCTCCAAAGCACCTGAGGGCAGGACAAGAAGTAACGGATGAATAAAGAGCGAGCCAACCTAGAACCTGGCCCAACTAGGGGATGGCCCTGCATTAGTCACTCCTGGAGATGACTTGGAGCAGCACTTAGAGGAGTGGTGATGGCCTCAACCTGTTACCACTTTCAGTGGTCTCCAATAATACAGTCCATGGTTTCACAACTCCAGGAGGCAAGCTATTTCACTGACTGTTCTGACAGGCAATATCCAATCTTCTAGGTTGGATATCTCTTCAACAAGCTTCCATTACTTCTTGTCTTGCACTCTGGTGCTTTGGAGAACAAATTGCTCCCCATTTCTCTGTGGCAGCCCTTCATGTACTAGAAAAGAGCTATAACGTCCCCCTAATCCTTCTCATTGATAGGTTAGATAAAGCTCCTAGCTCCCTCAACTATTCATCATGTGATTTAGCCTCCAGACCCTTTCATCTTTGTTCTTCTTTGCACTTTGTAGGGTCTGAGCATCTCTTTTTTTCACCGTGACCAGAACAGTTCTTCCAAGTGTGGCCTCACTTGTGCAGGATAAAGTAATATTATCACTTCTCAGTATCTTGATACTGTCCCTCTGTTGATGCAAACTAGGATTGCATTGGAGTTTTGGGTAGCTGCTGCACACTGCTGGCTCATATTTAAGTGGTGGTCTATTAGGACACCTATATGTCTTTCACAATTGCTACAATCAAGTCAGGTACCACCCATTCTATATCTGTGCATTTGTTTTGTTTTTTTGCTTACCTAAGTGGAAATCCTTACTTTTCTCACCATTGAATTGTGTTTTGTTGGATAGGGCCCAGTGTCCCGTCTGTCAAGATTTTTCTGACTCTTGAATCTATCGCGTTAGCTATTTCCCCATTTGGCATTGTCTACAAATTTGATGAGTTCCCCTTCTATCCTCTCATCTAAATTGTTTATGAAGATATTAAAAGTACTGGGCCTTAGATATAACCTTGAGGTACCACGCTGCAGACTTCCATGTAGAGATAGCTCCACTGAGGACCACTCGCTGAGTACAGTTGGTCAGCCAATTGCAAATCCATCTGGTGATGATGCTGTCTACCTCACATTTTTTGAATTTACCGTTGTAATCTGCTTTGTCAAAAGCCCTACTACAGTCCAAGTATACTATGTCCACAGCATTTCCCTGATCCACTAATTTAGTCACTTTATCAAAGAGTTTTTCTTTAGCATGATCTGTTTTTAAGAAACCCACACTAAGCTTCTGGTAATCACCTTGTTCATTTCTAGGTGCTCAGAAATCTGCTGGTTTTCCCACCAGGATTTCCCCAGGTATTTTTGCAAGGTGCTTGGGCTATAATTTCCTGGATCCATTTTCCCCCTTTTTGAAGACTGGAACTGCATCAGCTCTTCTCCAGTCCCCTGGGAGTCTCCATGTTCCAGGAGCTTTAAAAATATTCATTCAGTGGCTCTGAAATTACATCTGCCAGCTCCTTCAGATTCCTGGCCCAGATGATTTGTACTCATCTAGGGTGGACAGGTGTTCTCTTACTATTTCCTTGCCTTTTAATGGATAGGTTAGTTTTTTTAACTGACAATTCAGTTAAAAGAGGAATCCTGACTCCCACCGTCTTCACCATCTCTACTGACAACACACAACAGAGTCCTGTTGCAGGGAAGAAGTCACACTGGGGTTTCTAAAACTGTTATTGGGTTCAGGGCTACTTCTGCCCTCAGAGCAGCAACTGGCAATTTCTGGTGAGCAGAGCCAAGAGTCTGAAAGGAATAGCCTCCCCATCTGGTGCGGGTCTACGACAACTCACCACGGCCCATTGACCATGGGAACAACTTGCCACAGGACAAGTTACATTAATATTGAGGAAACAGTGAAATAGAATCATTAAAGAAAGGATGCCAAAGGAAGGACAAAATGAAATGTGAATGACAAAAATTTAAATTATTTAATTATTTTAGGCAATTAAGTTGAATTGTTGAATTGTCCCACAATGCTTTGTCCCACGTCGAGTTATCCACAGCAACTTGGCTATGGCAAGTTGTCCCATTCCGCCCAGTTGCTCCATAGGGAGAATAAACCCACAGCAGCTTTTGAAGGGCTCTTGGAGGGAGGCCCAATCAGCCCCACTTCCACCCTTTCAACTTTGCAGTAAGCAAAGCAGCAGCAGCAACTGCCCCCACTTTTGAGATTTGAGAAGGACATTTTTCTGGAGCACTTTTAGTCCTCCAAACCTCTTTGTTTTCTAGAAGACATTCACGGTCAGGTCCCTTGTCCACAAAAGAACCCCAAAATGCAAGACAACTAAATTCCATAGGAAAAAATACTTTATTTAACAATATACCACGTTCCATCATGGCTCCAGGGAATTCATTTCCCATTATTACTGAAGACAATGATGCGGCAACTGGGTGAAAGCAGTGAATAAAGGGTAAAGGAATTTCTAAAAAGTGACAGAATCAAGAGTAAAAAAAAACAAAAAACCCCACCCTCCACACAATATGGCGTCGCCAATTGGCAACCTCAACCCCTGAAGCACCAGGCAGGACTGGGAACATCCCAGCCTTGACTAAGAGAGGCCCAGCCTTGCCCACTTGCTGCCAGCTGGCCTCTTTTCTGGGCAACCTGTGGGGGAGGGGGCAGGATCCAAGGCCAGGACAGAGGCCCACCAGAGCCAGAAACACTGGCAAGTTGCAGACTTGCAGCTGGGAAAATGGCTCCAGGCTGCTGGGTAGCACAGGGCACTCTCGGGGAAGGGAAACACGCCTTCTCCCCCATGTGCCCCCCCACATCTCCCCCCAGGGGCTGCTTGCTCTCAATCCCCCTCCCCCGAGTAAGCCAGAGCCCCCAAACCTGCCAGGCACCTGGGAAACATGTACTTCCTTGCCCCACATGCAGGATGCCCGTGGATGGCTCGGGTCCAGCAGCCATTCTGAGGCAACCCTGAGGGCTACGGAAAGCTGCCCTCAAGGGGGCTCAGCCTGCACTAGAGCGGGTATCTGGCCCCCTCGGGCACCAGCCCAGTCGAGGGCGTGGGAGGGCCAGGATCCCTGCCCGAGGGGCTTCAGGACTGCAGGCCCCCTCAACTCTGCCTGGGGCAGATATCAGCCAGCCCCTCTGGTGAGCCCCAGAAGTTTTAGGAGAAGGGGGGATGGGCGGCCTTTCACGAGGTGAGCTGTGTGCTGGTTACACACCTCGGTGTGAACTCCTGTGATGGATGAACTGCATGTAGAGAGATTATAGCATGACAAATGTTTTAACACCCGTTCTTGTGGTTGATTTTTTCCCATATTTTTAATTTGTTTTGTTTTCTTTTTCTAAGAAAAGCAACGAGAAAATAATCCAAAGTTTATACAAAACCTCTTTACATTTATACCCTCCAAAAAAGACTGATTATTTACATAAAATAAAACCTCTGTTTTTAAAAAACAAAAAAAGCAACCCTTCTGATGGGAGAAAGATGAAGCAAAAGGACATTTCAGGATTCAGCAGAGAGAGGTGCTAAAAAAAACCAAGACCCCAAAGGCATATTGATACCCCATACACCCATTTTACAAATTTATTTGGCCGCCCACACCTCAATCCCTTGTTCATTTTAGGGTGGGGTAACAAGCATCGTCCCTCCCTCCCAACCCCAACTTGAGCTGGAAGCTCTTGCCATCCCACTTGCTTCTGGCAATTAAGCCCCCACCCTGCCCCCACAAATGTGTGTGTGTGTGTGTGTATGTGTGTGTGTGTGAAAAGTCACACTGGAGAGGATTTCACACAAGGCAAAATTCCCTGCACAAAATGAATTGCATGCAGGTCACTGCACAGAACTCATCCTGTGTTCCTTGTTTTGTTGTTCGGCGTGAAGCAGGAAGGGAACATCACCCAGGTTTCCATTTCTGCACACAAAGGAAAATAAACCGTGCTGAATTCCTATGACGTCCACATTGTAAATTAGTTTCCTTGAGCGCCTGCATTAAGAAATGCAGTTGGCATTTTATCTCTCTCCTTATTTTTGCTGCACCCTGTGTAAAAGCTAAATGTTTATGGTTGGAACCACACAACCACTCCTCTCGCCCCCTCTCCCCACTTTCAGTGGGATTGTGCTGGGTTCTTGTTCCTTTCCCCAGGGTGCTCCGGAGCCTGTGAGGGTCAGCAGTTCTACGAGTGGCCAGGCAGGGCCTCTGACCCGCCACTTCCGCCGTTCGGCCCTCTGAGTATCAGAACAAAATTGGTCGATTCAGAAAGCAAATCTCTGCGGCGGGAGAGAAAGCAAGCGGCCTAAAAGCCTCCCACTGCAGGGGCAGCCCCCTCCGCCCAGCCAGAGAGGGGCTTCCCTCACTTCGGTGCCCCTCTCCCACGAAGGGGACCCTATCGTGAGATAATAAGGGGTCATGGGAAGTCTTTACATTTTAAAAAGAATGCTACTACTACTACAACTGCTACTACTACCACTACTAAAAATACCTGTGGATTATCTGTGGAGCCCTGAGAAACTTGAATTCTTGGCTGATCTCCACTGAACACGCCTCAAAGTGCACAATTACCGAAGCCCTTACACAGACGGACAGACGGACGGACAGACACACCCTTTTCATATCCTGCATAGAAATGCTGACGGGGAGGGCCAGGGGGGGAGGGGCTCCAGTGGGCCTGTCTCTGAGGATGGGCAACTGGTTAGCTGGGCAGAAGAGCCTCCCCCCCCCCGCACCAGACCAGTTTATTGCAGAAGTCGGTCTCCAAATAGCAGGCAGGCTGATGGGTGCTGCACAAGGCCAGCCCCACAATGTTCGCTAGAGCGGCTGAGGCAGACTCGAGCCGGCCAGCTGATGGGCAGAAGGCCGGCCTTGGGGGCCTGGCTGGCCCGGGGGCGGGCAGGGCGCTGCAGCGGGTGCAATGAAGGAACCGCTCCTGGAAAGGAGACGGGGAGGGCGAGACAGGCAGGCGCACTTGGACAGAGCAAGAGGCACAGCGGCCTCCTCTCCGTGCGAAGAAAGGCTTCTGGCATGACGGGCAGGTGGCCGTGAAGGCGCCCGGAGCTCGGGGATGCTGCAGCCAAGCAGGCATGAGGGGGAACGGGAGGCAGGCTTCCTTTCGGCCCCTCCAGGGCAGGAGATGCATGGGGAGGGGGGGCAGAGGCTTTGATTGGCGCTTACACCCACTGGAGGAGCTGAGCCCCCTTCTAGGACCCAGAGGGGCTCTTTCTCTCCCATTAAGTGGCCCAGGGCCAATCAAGGGTCCTTGCAGGCCACAGAAGTCGCAATTAGAATTAATATGACTGGCAGGAAGCAAACAATGAAGAGTGCTGGGATGGGTGACTGGATCAAAGAAACTGGGGGGAGGGTGGCTGATTGCCACATTCTGCAATTGGGCGTAAAAGAGACCGAATCCAAGCAAGGAGAGAGGGGTCTGTGTTGGTGCTCTCCTGAAGCCCCCCCCAAAGAGCCCAAAGCTGAGTTCCCTTCCACAACCACGGATGCTCTCCCTTCATTCCGCTCTTCTGGGGCACAGCATTGGAAATTCAGGGAGACCCCTGCCCCAAGCATTGCAATGCCCTCGCGCATCTGCACCCCGGTCCAGGAGGAGGGCTGCTCCAGTGGGCACGAACAGCATCCCTCCTCTTGGCACCCTTTCCAGTTGGTTTTCAGACCTGGATTCTCTCCTGGACTGACCATTGCAAACAGCAGGGTTTTTTTTAATTTTTTTTTGTTTCATAAATTAGCAAAAAGGACCAAAAGGAAGAAGCGTCCACTTTTCTCACAGTGGACACAGAGCACGAGAAGATGACCGTCCAGTGTGATGAGGGGATGAGGCCGAGACGAGGCGGTGGGGGGGGGGGAAGGACTGCAGATGAGCTTGTGCTGGGAAACCACAGGAGGCAGCTCACAAGTCCAATCTTTCACAATTTTTTTTAAAAAGTTACAAAAAATACTTTAGAATTATTATATATATATATATATATATATATATATATATATATATAAAAGACGGGGCTAGGCAGACTCCTTTCTCAGCAAGGCCCAAAGCTCTGCCCCGCAAAGACTGGCATGCCCCCCTTTGGAGTGCCAGGCTTGGTGGGGCTTCCCTCCCAACAACAAGAAGCTGGAGAATCTGCCCCGAAAGCGAAGCGGCGGCCATCTTGGGGTTTCCCAGGTGGGTTTGAGAGCAAGAAAGGCACAGAGCCCAAGTGAGGGCCACGAAGCGGGCTGTGAGCAGAGGAGGGGCAAGAGGACACCCCCCCCCCAAATCCTGGGACTGAAAAGCTCCAAACTACAAGGCTAAATGCTAATCAAGGGAGGGGAAGCGCCTGAGGGGGCACGCAGACCCTCCTCCTTCTCTCCCCTGGCACCCAGAGGGCTTTGCAGTAGGACGGCAAGGTCTGTCCTCAAACCTTGTAATAAATGTTAGCTGGGCTCTGGGGGGGCATCTCCTGGACAATGTAGACCGGGTGCCCGTAGTCTCCGCTGACTTTCTCGTAATGAGGGCAATAGTTGTTCTCTGTAGTCCGCAGGGGGATGATGATGTCACTGGGCTCGGAGCCGGCGTTGCCGCTGCTCTTGGGGCTGGCCAGGGTGCTGAGCGACAGGGCCGCCGCCCGCTGCTGTGTGTGCTTCCGGTGCCGCTTTCGGATCTTGATGAGAAGGACGATGAGGAAGATGAGGATGAGGATGAAAATGACACAGCCAGCCCCGATCGCAGCAAACACGGCCACCTTGGAGCTGAAGAATCCATCGGTTGGTCTTTGGGTATCCTGGCCATCTTGGTTAACAGGGTCTGGCATGTGTGGAAGGAAAAGAAAAATTCAGAAAGGTCGAGGATGGGACAAGGCAGCTCTAACCGGCCCTTCGTGAGGATGGAGAACATGGTGCCCAAACCCAACTAGACACACATTATAAAATAAACGAGGTTAGACCACGATCTTTTCAAGATCAAAAGAAGCATCTCTGCGGAAAAGGGGGAGCCACTGTGGGGGTCCCACCACAAAATGATCTTCCTCCCCTAGGATGACCCCATGCTCCTTCCTTAAGGAGGCTAGGCAAAAAGGACTTCCTTGACATTTTAGGGCCCAGCCGTCAGAGTTGTGAATCTGAAAGGAAATTCCCAGAGTTTGAACTGAGCTTGGAGGCAAATCAGCAGCCAGTAAAGACTGTCCTGGAATTCCATTTGACTGAAATAGGAAGGAAACAATATTTTTTAAGAGCTTTGGAACCATTTCTATGGAAATGGCAAGTACTGCTTATTACAGTAACCCAATCAGGACATAACCTGGCCATGGGTCCTCACAGCAAGGACCTGTCTCCTGAAAGGAACAAACAAGGGAAGGGTCCACTAGCTTTGAAGGACACAGTTGGATCATGGACATCAAGGACAAGAGCCCAGCTTTACTAGACAGCATATAAATTGAACAATAACCCTCCCTAAACTATTTTTCATAAGCAGCATGCCCATTTCCCACATACGAAAACAACCGTTTGTCTTGTTAAGATTCAGTTCAATTTACTGGGCTCTACACACTCTGTGACCATAAGCCAAGCAGAGGTTCAAACCTGCAAAACCTCACCTCGGTCAGAAGACAAAGAGAGAGAAAAAGCACATTCTCCAGAGCTCCCACCGCAGCTTCAAATGTATGTTAAAGAACACAGCAGATAAGATGAAATGTTATGGGGCCTCACCACATGTGCTCTGTGAACCGGAGAAGAACACCATCCCCACTGCATGGAACACATTTTTCTGGTAAGAGTGGAACTGCTACGCTGTGCTACATCTGCCCAATCAAGCTGTGAAGAGGAGAGCTTGAGAAGAATCAGGAGAGCTGACTTTTGATGCCAGAATGCAGATCAAAACCCAGCCTTTCCAAGAGTCCCAAGACTCATATTATTATTTTCACCAAACTCCAAATCTCTTCACCGAAGCTGGTGGCATTTTAAATAAACATCAGTATCCCCTCCAGTATCCCCCAGACAGGTCAGTCAATTTCCGTGCTGCTAGGAAGTTATTCTGTAGCTCACCTAGGATGCACCAGTTTGGATTACAAAATGATAAGAAAGCAAAACGATAGGAAAGCAAATCACCAAGGAGCTGCAGTGGCGCAGTGGACAGAATACAGTATTGCAGGCTAATTCTGCCCACAGCCAGGAGTTCAATCCTGACCGGGTCAAGGTTGACTCAGCCTCTCATGTTTCCAAGGTTGGTAAAATGAGAACCTAGATTATTGAGGGCCATATGCTGATTCTGTAAGCCACTTAGAGAGGGCTGTAAAGCACTGTGAAGCGGTATATAAGTCTGTTGCTATTGCTCTTCTTCCAGAAGAGAGCCACTTACTTTTCATCAATGGATTAGGATTAGTTAACAGAACAATTACTTAGTGGAACAGCTTGCCACCAGAAGTGATGGGTGCTCCATCACTGGAGGATTTTAAGAAGAGATTGGACTACTGTTTGTCTGAATTAGTAAACAGGAGGTCAGACTAGAAGACCTCCAAGGTCCCTTCCTACTCTGATATTCTATGACTTCTATAAATGGTTTCCCAGGGCTACACTCACTCACTTTCCTCAAATTTCATCTGATTTTCCTGCCAGAAGGATCAGAAAAGTGCCTGTGGAGAACTGCATCCAGCAGAGGTTTGTTGGAGCCTGTGGCTGAGCCTTCCCAACGAGAAGGGAGGGCAGGAGACTCACTGAGGGCAAAGGAGCTGCCAGAGCCAGCGGGAGAACAAGCACAGCTGGTAAAGATCTGCAAAAGCAGTACATCGATTTAAGGAGAAACTTTATGAACATCATTGTGCACAAAACCGGAATCTAACGATAACAGGTCAACTTCAAGTGGGTTTAAAAAAATCCTTTGTTCTTTCAGATTAATCTGCAGCTGTAAGGGGCATTTGGGTTACTTCCCACCCCCGAATCCACCCAAGAACCCACCCAAAAGCATCCGCCAATTAGAGTCAGCCCTTAAGTCAACTGAAATCTTCCCTTTTGGAAGAGGGCTAGATAATCTCCACCCCAAAGACCTTAGAAATGCCCAGTTTCACAGAATTCAGCTTCACAGTCTTTGATAACCCTCTTCCTTCTTCCTGTCCACCAGGAAGGGGCAAACAGGAGGAGGAGAAGCCAGGAATCTCCTAGGAGAATGGGGCTCCTGGGCAAAGATGCGGGGGGGGGGGGCTGCACTTCAAGTTGCTACCTTCCTTTCTCCCCTTTAGAAGATGGGGGGGGGTTGGGAAGGGCTTTCTGAGCAGCACTTTGAACCGCAGCAAAAGGCTAGTTTTCCTTCTCTGTTGCTTCTGCTTAATTCTGGAATGGATGCTCCTTCCCGGCTGTCATGGGCTTCTGGAAATCAGGAAAGCCTTCCTCTCCCAGGAGATCAAGTTATTTCTTGTTATATTCCCCCATTTTAAACATTACTGAATGCATAAAAAAGCTGTGAACTTTACGCAATGATGTCATTTCTGATTTTTCATTGAGGGCTTTAATAGTTTCCTACCAGTTTATATATTACTCTGTGTCTCTCTCTGTGTGTGTGTGTGTGTGTGTGTGTCTTTCAGTCAGTGTCAACTCCTGGCAACTTCCTGGAAAAATCCCTGCACTTTTTTCAGCTGCATTTTTAGAAGCCCTATTGAATTTGCTATACGTGCACAACTTACAGTTCATTTAGTTCAAAGTTACAACATCGCTGAAAAAAAGTGATTTTCACACATATGACCATTGCAGCATCTTCATGGTCATGTGATCAAAATTCAGACACTTGGCAATTGACTCGTATTTATCTCGGTTGCAGTGTCCTGGGATCATGTGATCCCCCTTTGTGACCTTCTGACAAGCAAAGCCAACAGGGGAAAAGCCAGATTTGTTTAACTGCAGTGGGATTCACTTAACAACCATAGCAAGAAAGGTTGTAAAGTGAGGCAAAAATCATTTAACAAATATCTTGCTTAGTGACATACATCTGGGGCACAATTGTGGGTGTACATCGAGGACTACCTATACTGGAACATACCAACTTTTCATCAGATCGGGCGAGTGTAACCCCCACAATCTCGGCAGTCTATTGTCCAAACAATTCAGGCCACGCTTGCAGGACCCTCCCTCTCCCATCAGCCCAGGGCTGATAGCCATGCGTTCTCCTTCAACTCTGGTTTCTTCCATATATGCTGTAACAAACAGTGGGAACCACCACCTGATTCCACAAGAACGTACATTTCTTTCCACGTTCTTCCACCTCTGTGATAAGACAGTTGCAGTTTTTTTACTGCAGTATAATTTGCCCCCACATGTATTAGCAGGTAGGGATAATTGTTGTTGGACAGGGAAAACGCTGGAAGCTGCACAGTCCCATCCCTAATCTCTAGGCTCCTAGTGCACCTGGTGTGGTTAGTACCTACTTATTTTGTTTCCTCCTAGCAGTGAGTCACCACAACGCTTCTCTTGTCTCCTTGCAGGGTTGAGTTGCACCCGCCTTCCCTTTAGGGATCCACCATCTTGCTGGCTGAGGCAGGGCGTCTCCCACTCTTCTTCCAAAAGCTCAGGGTCTGTTTATTCTCCTGCTCCTGAAAATCTGATAAACCTTCATCCTCCCTCATCGCCTGCCTTTCAAAATGACCCATTTCCCTAAATCTTTCAGGAAGGTAACGAAGATGGAGCTCTTCAAGGCAACACAGGAGGACGAACTTTGTTGGTATTGTTATTAGACCGGTTGGTTGGTTTATGTTAATGTTCAGTCTTTGGATGTTCTGGTTAGTTATCTATAACAATTTACTGTTGTCAAGCCCAAAGCCAAGAACGGCATGTGGTGACTCTTCCAAGAGGAATTCTTTATTGCTTCACAACTATAGACAAAATATTGCCAGATTTGAGGGCTCTGCTAGCTGCATCTAGCAACTGAGATCTCTTGGGGGGGCTGTCCTCTCCCTCTTTCTTCCACATGTGACATCCCAGCTGAGTTGCCCCTCTGGATTGGCCCCTCCTTCCTGGGGATCCGGCTCCTTACTGCGTTCTATCATATCGGTTGTCCACACCTACATGACAAAATGACTGTCACCTCCAGAAAAGTGGGGGTGGTGCAGGGGAAGATGCCCCAAAGAGGATTTGTCACTGACCCCTGCTCCCAGATTTCTTGGGGGGAGGGCTTGTACACATCCCCTCTGCTGGATTTTACCAGATAAGTAATGGGTGGTCTCCACAGCTGGCTCCCTCCCAAGTCCACAGGGCTTCTTCAGTCATCCACCCCTATTGCAAGCAAGCTGCAGCATCTGCACCCATGTCTCCCAGCTACATGTGTCTGTGGTCAGCATAACAATTGATTATACACAGATACTTTAAGTAAACAAGGGGGCTTCGCACACACTGATCCCTGTCGGTGTTACCTCCTTGCTAAGCACCACCTTCAGCAATGCACCCGCAGCCCCTCTTCATGCTGCCTGTCCCAGACAGTGAGCCTTTTCACTACTCCAACCCCAGGATTCTGGGTGGCGCAACTGTTCACCTCTTCCAAAACAACATACATCCCCACCACGGACAAACCTGTACATTCCACCTGCCCACATATTGTAAATGTGATAATGGACTCTCCAAATTGGTCATCTCCTTCTCTTTCGTTGCCTTCAGCCTTTTCAATCAGAGTTTTGTCAGAGTTTCTAGGCATGCTTAAAAACATCCGAGTCCCTTGAAAAGTCACTCTTGCTAACTTTGTGTAGAACACTCTTCCAATGGGGGGGGAGCAGAGGCCACCCTAACAAGATTAGACAACTCAAACAGCTACCCCATAAACAAACCACATCTGTTTTTAATCCTGCTTTATTCACAGCCATGCACCTTTCACGCATTTATTACTTTTTCCTTAGGCACCTTTCCAAAATTTATTTCAGATTCGCTAATTGATGATTCTTATAATTCTCTGAAATACTCCATGCAACAGTTCCTCACTTGTGTTTCATTCCTTTTCTTTTCTCAATTCCATTCATTCTGTGGAAGGATTCCCGTGCAGCCCACACAACTAAAACTTTTTAAAATTCCCATTCTTTTAAAAGCACCACTCCTTTACACACCTACACACTTTCTCACACTGCTGGGTTTCCATCAGAATGCCGTTGCATCATCCAGTTCTCATAGGAACCGTCTACAATTTGGGGAATTATTGTTGCTGTGTCTTCCTTAAAATTGTTACTATGGACCCTCTTCCAGGTGCTGCCAAAGCTGAAATCATCCTGAGGAAAACCTCCTCCCTTTTTGGCCTGCTTTGAGTGACTTAAGTATCCCATCTTTCCTATAAGTTCATTCTCACAAACCTGATGAAATAGACGGTAACCATGCACTGTCATAAAATGCCAAAGGATGGTGCATTGTGTAATGCAATTATCATGGTAAAAAGCTCAATTAAAGGTTTTAGTCCAGGCATGCTCATTCTATTCAATGCAAGCCAAAATCTCCTCCAGCCTTGGAAGCTGCTTTTTATAGAGTGTGTAGGCCAGGGGTAGGCAACCTTGGCTTCCGTATGACTTGTGGACTTGAACTCCCAGAATTCCTGAGCCAGCCTACCCCTGGTTTAGACACTTGAGTACATATACAAAAGCATAAAGAGCATTATTAAAACATATTTTCCTTCAATGTTCCTTTTTTTAAAAAAACAACAACAACCAGATACATTCCTCATTAAAAGTCACAAAAATTACAGAAACAAAGGATAGGAAGGGGTAATTGTGGTCATCTATTCCAACACCATGCTCAGAGAACATTCCCCAGAACCCCATTCCCTACCAACCCTGATAACGTTACCAAGTTGGGTAATGAAACGTCTGCAAGAAAGCAACCAAGCTCAGGGAGCCCCAAGGACCTCTTGCTCAGAACATCTCTGACCAAGGACCACTCAGCCTCCGTTGGAGGACCGGCCACTTCTACTGGCAACCTGTTCCATTGGCTGGCAGCTTGCACAGAGTTGGGAAGCTCCTCCTGAGAGACAGCCTGAACCTCCTGCTCGGTAGTGTTCACCCCTCGATTCTGGTCCTGCCCCCTAGGACCACTGAGAAGTCCCCCCCCTTTGGGTATTTGAAGACTGATGCATATCTCTTTTCAGGCATCTTTTCTACTGGCTAAGCACACCCAGATCTTGTGACTGTTCCTCACAATGTTTGGATCTTGGCAGCCACAGCAGTCATAAAAATACCAACAGTAAGTTGTTAAAACTTAAATTAAAATCACACCTCCGACCCTGACTACACCACAATTCACCCTAAAGGGATTACTCAGCCTGAGCTACTCTTGAGCCCATCTCAGAGCCAGGGAGTTCACAGAGAACGTCGGTGGAAGCAAACTGATCCAAACTGCCGGCAGCTGGAGGCCAAGCGGAACACAAAACGTTCCCCTTCATCAGAAACCGCCCTGATAGGTGAAGAAGGCAGGGCCGCATTACAAACCATTATAAACCTGCAGCTGCTTCTCCAGTGCCAGGCTGCGGGTGGTCTCTGTGAAGACATTACCTGGCTTCCCTGGGACCTCCCCAACAGGGGGGAATCTGTGATGGGGGCTTTGCGTAGCGACGTTCCCCCCGCTGCTGGAATCCTTGCTGGGCCGGCTTGTGGTCAGCTGCTCTGGCATCACCGCATTGGGATCTAAGAACAAAGAGGAAAAGTCAGGGTGAAAAACGGAGGCCCATCTCAGGGGAAGGGGGCCCGGGGGCTCCGCTGGGGCACCGGACTGGATTAGGCAAGGAAAGTGTTGGCTTTGTGCCAGGAGCAGGGAGCTGATGCAAGAGATTATTTTTGCAGGAAATATGTCAAGACAGTTGGGGAGCTAAAGGAAACAACGGAAATCCCATTAATCATCCATTCACTTCAGACTTTTCCCGATAACTGCTACAAAGTTCCATTGAATCTGTCCTCTTTAAGATTCCTTCCTTCTTCCCTTCCTTCCTTCATTCATTCTCCCTCCCCCTCCCTCCCTCCCTCCCTCCCTTTCTTTCCTTCTTCCCTTCCCTTCCCTATCCATCTCCTTCTTTCTTTCCTTGCCCCTCTCCCTCCCAGATCACCCCTCCCCACATCAGCCTCTCTTCCACAGGACCAATCACAGCAGTCTCTTCACTGGCTAAATCCTGCATTTTAAATAGCTTCAGTCTAAAATGAGGACCAAGAAAAAGTTGAAAGTCTGCTTTCTGTTCAGCTATGAAGCTGCTCACATATATTTCCAATTCTGCAATTAAATTGAAAAAAATACAGCGCTGTATATCACACGGTGCTCCATTTCAGTGGTTCTTCTAAAAAAAGGGAAGGGTGGCGATATTAGCAGATTACACAAAGTTCCTGTGGTCATGGAGAACTTGCCTGTGGCCACCAGAGTCAGCTGCTTTCTCCCCTTTCCTATTAGGAACTGACAGATGGCTGTATCCAAAGCTAGAATTAAGCTTTCATTATGGTTTTTTTACTTCCATTCATTCAGGGGCTATTCAAAGTTAAAGTGGCACTGAAAGAATGGACTTATAACTGGTCCTCAAAGTTGTGGCTGTTTCAGAGTCCCCGTGGTCACGTGACCATGAACCAGGCACTCGGAGGCCCAGCTCACGATTCTGACGTGACCTGCTGGTCCCTTCAGTGTAAGGGGGAGACACAGATTTTTTTAAGAAAAATCCTCTTTCTATTGACCTGCACTGTCTAACGGTTCGCTTTAATGTGTTGTTAGAATGTAGGTATTTTGTCCTCCTGCAAATCATTAGAAACTGACCAGGATGAGAGAAATCCTAGGTTGGCCTCTCTCTTTTCCTCGAATCACACAGATAGCATTCTCAAGTGCTCTCTGGAAATCGAGTCAAGATTCCATAGCGTCACAGTGTGAATTGTCACTTTTCAGACTGCTGGCAAAAAAATCAGGGCAACCTCGATGGAGGTTTGAAGGCCTGAAGTGGTCAGTAAAGGGTATCAAATGGTGACTACCAAGACTGAAGGAGGTTACAGGCTCCCCCCCCCATTTATATTTGATTTGATAGACTTGCTTTTTTTTTTTTTAAGGTATGCTATGCTCTGCTATAGGTCTTGCTGTGCCTGGCCTACTACGTGGCTCCCCCTAGGCCGCGTCTACAGCGAGGTAGGCCTCTTGGCCTAGAAGGCCTCCCGTGACCTAGAGGGCCTCACGTGGTATCCAAGGATCAGCAGCTTTTTGGGGGGCGCGCTGATGATACCTGCCGGAGCCTACCGCCCCCCCCCCCAGCTGCCTAGTTGCCAGGAGCCTTGCCAAAAGGAAAAAAAGCCTCCATTTACCTTTGTGGCTTGAAAAATGGCGGCTACGGCCCGTTTCCTTCTGAAAATGGGCTCCGTGGCCTTTTTGTGATTTTTGGTGTTCGGGGGGGGTGTGTGTGGATGCAGCGCTGGGTGTGCGCTGCGATTTCGCCGCTCTGGGGCTTGATTTGGGCAAAAAATCAGCTTCCTTTGTCTGCAAGGGCAACCAAAATGGCGCCCGCGGTTGCCCTGGGCTGCTGGAGCGAGCTCCGGTGATTCGGATTCAACTTTGAATCCGAGTCTGGAGCTTGCTATTTTTCCCCCAAAACTGGGGAAAAAACCCTTGGGAGCTGGGGAGAAAGGCACAGCAAGTAGTCTCTGCTGATGCCTTCTCCCCCCCCCCCACCAGAGCCCTGGGAAAGGGATGGGAAGCTGGAGGAAATCCCCCCCCCCACACCCCACCTTTTAAATAACTTGAGATCACAAATGATCTCAGTGCCTGTGGGGAAATTGTTAAAGGAAAGTAGCCAATTTAAAATAGTCAATAATTTAGGGAGAATCCACCAATGAATTGCTCTGACTAACCTGAAATCTCTGAGAGCCAAGCCAAAACGAGTCTTCCAGAGCTGAGACCAAGTTAAGAATGGATCCCCTGGCAAGAGGGGGCGTGTCAAATTTGGCTACTTGGTCTCAAGAGCAGGCAGACAGAGAAAACCCATCGGTGGATTCTCCATCTCCTGTACTGGAGAAGATGAATGTTTTCCAAACTGTCATTTTTGGAATTGAAACTTGCAGTTGATTATCCACCTATATTTTCCAATGCAAATACACTGAGTCAGTTTTCACTGACAACGTGCACCTCCTAACTGATGGGATGTCTGCTGTGATATGTTTCCTAGAGACCCAAGCTTGCATAGAAAATGATTGCAATAAAGCTGGGCTGTGGTTGCGCTCATCCCCAAAATATGTCACACCCAACTGCTTAACAAGGAATGCAGCATGCACACAAGGCAACCTAGTTGATTGTTACCCTACTGAAGATCATCACAAGTGATAACTTTGACTGACCAAGGCCATTACAGGTGGCAGATGTTCCTATACAAAGGCCCAACCAGTCATCACACCTCCCGCAAGTAGAAGATTGCAACTTGGAATACAAGAGAAGTACATGAAGCAAAGAGCATTTAGCATTAAAAGTGTAACAGAAAATGCAGAGCAATTTTGAAGAAAATTGTTTGTAGTCATCTGTAAATTGAGTAAATAATGGTAGTAAAAAAGAAACCATCTCTGACAATACTGGGAGAGCCAAAATCTGCCTCACTTAAAACAACCAAACCATTTTGAAGATACAACATAATTTTATTAACATGGAGACAATAGACAATATAGGTGGTTCTTGATTTACAATCGTAATTGAGTCTGGAATTAGTCGGTAAGTCATGCCAGTCATTAACTGGGTCATCATGTGATTGACCCAATTTTAGGACATTTCTTTGCAGCAGTCTTTAAGCAAGTCACCATAGGGAATAAGCAAATCCACAGTCATTAAGCAAACCTGTTGTCCACAATGTGCTTTCTACCAGAAAACTGAAGTGCACGCTGATTTCCAGAAAAGAAATGCCATAAATTGTGGTCATATGAACACAGAATGCTGCAAACGGCCTTAAATGCAGGCCTTCAAGCACCAAAATATGATCACATGACCCAGGAGGATGTCAGAACCAAAGCTTATGTGCCTTTGACCTACAACACTGAAAAGACAAGGGAAAAGAAATGGGCAGCAGACACAGTCAAAAATTATAGAAAATGAGTAAACTTCCAGAAAAAAGATCCACGGACAGACTCTGGATCCAAGTAGTAAAATCTATCAAAACTGTTCCCCTGGCTGCTTTGCCAAGGGAACAGCTGGCTCATGTGTCAAAAGCTGGCATGACAAGACAGGTTTCCACATTTGTTCTGACAGAACAATCCAGAGCTGTCTGCACCGGCTGCCTGGCGAAGGGTCTGGCGCAAAACCAGAAGGACCCTTGATCAAGAGAGGGAAGAGCGTCGCAGGAGGACAAAGGAACGGCTGAGAGGCTGACGCGCTTGGCTTCTGTGCCTGGAGTGGGACCTCTTTTTAGTGCAACTGCAAGGTTAGGGACAAAACAAACAACCCCTTTCTATTCCTTGAAAGATGCCAGAACAGTATAAATCCCATCTGGATGCTGTCTGAAGAGATGCAATCATTCAAGTAATCCGAACATTATCCTAGCTTAATGTACGCCTTGTGTGGGCGATGGTGCTTAAAGACAATCCTTACATGTACATAACAGGATCTTCAGAGTAAATCAGAGCCTTATGTATCCAAACAACTCAGAAAGAGGTCAAAATGTCATAAAATCTCCTTCACAAATCTCAAAATGAAGGAAGTGGTGTTAAAACAAACTGGAGGACATCCCTACATATAAGACCAATTCAGTGTTTATGCTCCCCCTTCATACCAGTGAGACTTTAAGTCCTCCCACAGATCCATTTTAGTAAAAATGCTAGGTTTCTGTAACCAAGCCAGAAGATCAGTAAACAGCAGGAGAAAGTAAAGGATCTTTAAAACAGGGTTCCCCAACTCTTGGCCCGTGGCCTGTTCGGAACCGGGCCGCAGAAGCGGCACACGAGTGCACACATGCATGCAACTTCATTTGCACAAGAGTGTGCAGCTCCATTTAAGCAAGCAGTATGCATGCCTGCTGTTTGTGCAAATGGAGCTGCGCACATGGGCTTACTCACCACTCACACGGAACCATCCCCTCTTCCCCCCTCCAGTCCACAAAGCCAGAAAGTCTGGGGAATGTTGCTTTAAAAGTCTGTAATGATGAACCATCTTATCTGAAAAGAGCACTGGGGCCCAGGGTGAATGTGCAGGGCCTACAACCTCTTTCAGTGAATTGCCACAAGTTTCTTTAAACAAACTAAGTCAACTGCTAACTGCATTTATCAGTGATTTGAGCACCTGCAGCCCAGGTAAGCATGAGGGGAAGAATAACATCAGCCACATCAGAATACTTTACAGGTAAAATAGGTAAAGTTTTCTGTTGATCAGTGGAAAAAGGAAAAGAGGCCTAAACTCTGCAGACAATGCCTTGGGCGAATATGGGCATTACTAGTAATGGTTCTATTATCCAATCAATTTGTGGATTAAAAATTAAAAGCCAATCCACCGGCAGCACAATGGGAACAGTCAGAGAAGAAGTCAAACAGAAGGGGCGTTGTCTTACCTGAACGCCTTTTCTCAGCACGGAGATGGATAATCCACCAATGGGTTGAGACTGTATTCCTGCCCAATCAGATCAGTCAGCCAAAGTTGCCACGCCCGTCCTGGACCACGAGATTCTCAGTCTTGACACGAGCGAAGCCATTGACTGACA